TATCCATCAATCCATCCATTAACCCGTATTTTCCCGTACACACGCGTGCATCTTTTCATGAATGGGTTCCCACCATCGACCCATATAGAAATGCGTCCATGAACCAACTTTTCGTTTTTCCGTCTGTTTTGCAGAAATAGTTTTCACGCCGGTGGTTATGTTTAAAAATAGAACTAATCAGGTATTTCGAAAATTGGAAAGAGATACAAAAACGTCTGCCAAAAGTTGTGCAACAGTTTTTCGAATGATTTGTTTCAAAGTCTAACACACTGCTTTGAAGTTGAAGGGCAGAGAGAGAGAAAGAGAGAGAGAGAGAGAGAGAGAGAGAGAGAGAGAGAGAGAGAGAGAGAGAGAATGTTTACAGAGGGGGGCTCAGTAAGGAGAACATGGAAAAGGGGCCCTGTACAGAGGGTTAGTAAAACCTTTTAACCGATGCTGACCTGACAGCAAGTCTTGACAAATTCGTTTGGTTTCAATTTTCATTAGAAACTTGTACTGCCAGGTAATTTTTGAGTATAGCTGACAAGAATGAAATCCAGGTAAATAAGTGTCTTGATTAATTTTAAAGAAAGCCTTTTTTCTACCAAAAGAAAATAAAAGCGCAGTGAAGTAGGCTTACATTAACTATGGTTAATCCGAAAACAGCGGTAAACCAAAGGAAAATAACACCCCCCCCCCCTTCTTATTTATTTTCTTTTCGAGCAACCTCTTAACGAGAAGCTCGGCTAAGGAAAATTTGAAATCCTACAGAGTTCGGATTTAGCAAACTCCAATGTATGTACTGGTACTTTAATTCTATTGTGTAGACTATGTAAAATGACCTACCCCGCACACCAGCTGCAGGTCTCACAGTACTTATCACAACAAGAAGTACCACAGATAAGAGCATCGCTCCTCCAGGCATTTTGAACCTTGAGCTCTGAAAATTAAAAAAGGAAATGTTTTTGAAAACAGGCTACACAACTATTAAATTTCGTTGATAACATGGTTATCACATAAAATATTTACATGTTGATAACAGAGAGATAAAAAGCAGCCTTGAACTACTTGCTCATACTCAAAGCAGACAAACGACATAACATCACGACACTGCAGTCTAAGGACATGTAGGGCCTATGAATAACCTGGTGGAATATTATCAAGGGTTTAGCGTCCCTATCAACACACAGTGAAGCTATATAAGAGGCGGACCTTGAAATTTAATGCAGTATGTGGAGACCGTTGATATCTCTTTTCTATAATAATCATCCCAAGTTCAAGAACACACCATTGGGGATTCAAACCTCAGTCATTTGCCCGATATAGTCCAGTTCTGTGTCAGTGTTCACCTCAGAACACCTCTATAATAGTAGCATATCGCCGGCCCAGAGTACAACTGTCGTATGTCCACGCACACTGGTTTTGAGAAATAAGCCTTAAAAGTCTGAGATGGCTCCAGATTCAAATCAATCACCAACTGATTCATCTAACTGTTACCCATTGTTGTTTGTGTGTATAATCAATGTTTTAACTTTAAAAGTTTTCACAGATTGCTGTTTTCCTGTGGAATTGAGAAACAGTTTTTGTTTTAAGAAAATCTAGTTTTCTGAAAAAATCGAACTGAATACTCCAAATTACAAATGTCGTATCTCCATATTAAGTTCCAAATCTCCATAATCTAGTCTAAATTTCATGGCTGAGTCACTCGCCTGCAGGGCAGAAGGTCCTCCTTGGCTCAAATCCCACAGGGGACGATAAGAATCCCCCCCCCCCCCCCCCCGAAAAAAAAACTTTTTTTTTTCAGAGGTTCACATGAAGTCAATGTTCTATGGCAGACTGATGCTGAAATTTGAGATGGCGTCTCTCAAATAACCTCACTGTGTTGCAAGGGATGTAAATCTTAACTAACGGTCATTCCAGTTGCAAGGGGCACACAGGAGTCTTGGCATCCGTAGTCCCGTGGCCACCTAATGATCTTATAGCTGCACTACTACCTGTAATATCTCTCATTTGACCTTTTTGTGATGCAAGGGATAACCTACGAAACAAAATACAACAGACAACACCTTCAATACCCTACAAACGTTTCTGTCTCGTCCAACCAAAAACTAAATTGGCAAAGGAAAAGGGGTAATGTAATGTTTTTCACTTTTGAGAAAAATCAAACGATTTTAGTTTGACTTTCTCATTTCTCGCATACAACACGGTATTTTTAAACATGGCGTACCTGGTGACTCTTCCCCCTTTTTTCAGTCAGATTTATGTGTGGACAAGTCCATAATTATGAGATATCCACTCATTAGCTTATCACAAAAACGTGAAAAGTTGACAATCCCTCTTCTTCCTATGCACCCTTCAAAAGGGTAGATCTATAGTCATAACGAAAATTCCATTTCATAATAGAAAAAAACAATCTTCATTGTCCTTTCCAGACACCTTGTTTTCGTCTACGTGTTCAAGAATAACAGGTACAGTAAGTTTGAAATATAAATAAGACACATAACACAATACATGTATAGGCCTACAGTGTAAATGAAATACACATACACACACAGACACACACACAGACACACACACACACAAACACACACACACACACACACACACATACACATGTACATACGTACAGACAGACAGACAGACAGACAGACTGACAGACGCACACAAACATACATACATACTTACATACATACATACATACATACATACATACATACATACATACATACATACATACATACATACATACATACATACATACAATTCTATATAGCTTTATATTATTTCTGTCTGTTCAACAAGCGCGTCTCATGACCACATGATCTGTTTATTTCGTTACAGAACAAAAATCTAGACACTGTTCAGGTCTTGTTGTCCCTCCAAGAAAAGGGAGTGCCCACAACGTGTCAGTATAAAATCTGTTTTATAATGTCTCCTCATTTTTGCACCCCTTTTAAGTGCAGTCATGCGTGCCGGTGTATTTATTGCCTTGTTGACAAACAACTTTGCAAGACCAGGAAGCACATTCTTCTATTCTGCGTATGTGGGATGGTGTGTTTGTGTTATAAGCACAATTATAAACCCAACCGTTGTGCTAATGTTTACACTTCTTTACACTACAAGGGACGATAACCTTCTGAAGCCTTTGAGCCTAAATGGAGAAAGAGAAATTTGAAGTTAAAGATGGAAAGATAATGAAGTCTTTTAAATCATATGTCTATATTTCTGGTGAGGAAATTTGAACACTCAAATTCCTCAGATGTAATGAATGTCGAATCATGTTTTTATACATGTATGGTTTATCGTGTGATCTAACACTTATAATGAGGGTGGCGTCGGTGGCCTAGTGGTTAGACTACCGGACTCGTAAACGTGAGATTGCAGGTTCGGGGGTTCGAGCGTCAGCTCGGTCCGACGTTGTGACCTTGAGAAAGGCACTTTACACGAATTTCCCACTTGGTTCGGAGACGGACGTTAAACTCGGAGGCCCCGCCTCTTAAATAACATAATAGTGTTGATAAGGGCGTTAAACATATACCATTTCACCTATAACGACCTTGGTATTTCAAGTAAGATAACTGTTACTGATAGAGAAGATTAGGATGTGGCGCCATGGCGACAGCCTGATGTAAGGGTCAACAAGGTCGGCTCTGCTTTTGTTTTAACACATACTCAATTTTCGAAGTTAAATAATATTATATTATTGCTATACATTATACCAAAAAATTATGGCGCTCATATGACCTTATGCAGTTGTGAGCGCCGTAAAACCCTCTACTATAATTTTTTTTTTTTAAATACTCACAAATAATGCACCAGCACACAATCGCATGTTCAAAAAACAACAGGAGTGAAATAAAATGGAATGGGTTTAGATCTAACGCCCCTATCAACACTATTAAGTTATTTAAGAGGCGGGACCTTCGAGTTTAACGTCGATCTCCGAAAGGACCGAACCAAGTGGGAAATTCGTGTAAAATGCCTTTCCCCAAGGACACAACGTCGGACCGAGCCGAGACAACATGGGTGCAATAAGATCAACAAAATATTACCTATCTCTGTAATAAATCTCAGAAGGTTGACTTTTCTGTCAGTTCTGGACGAAACGAGAATAACCCTCTTTGTAACGACCAATTTACTTTAATTTCTCCTTCCTGACAGGCGCCTGTTGGTGCGGCGTTGTTGGTTGAGAACCCTGTTCCACGATATTTTGGAAGTTGGAAGTTTCAATTTGTTCTTTTTTTTAAAAAAGAAATTACATTTTCCTCTCAGTGTTGTGGTGCATGTACGTCGTTCCAACACGAGACACAATAAATATTAACACAGTTTTCGAAAAGACAAAACTCACTGAAGACGCGAATTTTGTACCATTGAAGACAAGCTGTTTCGATGTTTCTTTTTAAAAAGAAGCATACCTGTACAGCAAAGAAAAATTTCTCTCTGAGGTAATAAAGTATTAATATTATCGTATTATTCTTATCTTTTCTTATCTTACATTCGTGATTCAGACAAATTTTCCATTTCCGTTTTTCTTTATCTAAAACTCAAAAAGGCAGGAAACAACATCCAAACTATGAAATGTTCAAATTCGTGTTTCTGATATGTGCATGTCGGTTCGAAATGTGCCGCAACATTGTCTTTGGCCATCTGCTGATCTGGCACATCATGTGTCCGCTACGTCATTTACTTCTTCACTTCCATGTTCGAGAAGTGAATAATAGAGCAGGCCTGGGGAATGAAGGCTCATTCCTGGTGATTTGTGTATACGCTGCAATTTGCTTCTACTCATAGTCCCGAACGAAAGAGCCCGAGGCAGTCTTGGGCTAGGTGTTAAAGAGTTAAACTGTACTAAGTAGTGTAGGGTGTTCAAAATACGTCGGGAATTCCTGTTGCCACAACATAAGTACCCCCCTCCCCCCACCTTCCACTCGGAAATCTTAACCTAACTTTTTGCATAATAAAATTGTTAATCAATAGCCTACGTAGAATCAGCCATCTAGAATACTCTGACACCGACATTCAGATGTAACTCGACTCTTGAGCCAACAAGACACAGGCTGTACTTAACAAAGTCGTGTCCGGATACCATGTCATCTGCTTATACAGAGTGCACGCTGTCAATCGTCAATCGAATCGGTTGTTTTCAGTCACAATAAAAAAAAACACTAAATCCCAAATAAGTTATCATACCTTTTATTTATAAACACGCTGAATACGTTTATCTCATCGAGTGTTAATTTCTACTCAATCCAGTATTTTAAAAAAAATAATTTGTAAATAGATTAAATAGCAGTGGCGTTTTAGGGAAGTTTGGGAAACTGTACTAAAGGCCTATTGCAAAATCGGAAGACAAAACTGGCTTGGTATAAAGGTGGGGTTATCTTACGTATTCTAAGAGTTAATTTAAACAACAAATACGTAAGATTAGAGGTCGGATTTGGTTACAAGAGCGCAAGAGATCTCACTTTTTTTTCCCCTCAAGAAGTAGAAACATGTTGTACAGGATCCATCCATTGTATGCTATGTCAGTTAAATAACTTGCATGTTTGAAAACAGATTAATAAACTTTAAAAAAACACACACATTCACACACACACACACACACACACACACACACACACACACACACACACACACACACACACACACACACACACACACACACACAAATATACACAGAGAGAGAAAGAAAGAGAGAGAGAGAGAGAGAGAGAGAGAGAGAGAGAGAGAGAGAGAGAGAGAGAGAGAGAGAGATTAGTGTTGAGGACGTTAAAAGTAACTCTAAGCGGGTGTCGTGTCGGTGATGCAGCGGTTCGGCGCTTCGATGTCACATGCAGGAGATCCGAGTTCGATTCTTGTGTGGGAGCATTTTTATCGAGTATCTTCGTCTTTTCCGCTGGGACTGGGATGTTGTTTCCCTCCCAGACAGGATGGCTTGGCTCCCAATGATCTAAGTTGTGTTGATAGAGGCGTAAAAACACGTCCTCATTTAAAAACGTAGCCCCCACCCTGGATTTTTCACCGAACCCAGTCTCGTGACAAAATTGCAACAAGTATAGCCAACGACAAAAATTAGAACTATAGTTTATTGTACTGTGAAGACATAGGAACTGCAATGACGAAATGTAACCACCGACAGTGTGCTATTGATAATACTATTAATGAAACACAATTTCGGCCAGCTGGCAAATCATCACCTAACGTATTCTAATCCAAAGCATAAATCATGATTTATGGTAAATGAATACAAAACTATTCTTCTGTATTCAAAAGAAAGTGTGAGAAGTCAAGAAGTTACGCCACAAACTGAATATTATTATGACGGAATTGGCACACCCACCCCAATGAATAAAATGTTATTCGTGTTCTAATGAAACTGAAGTCAAATGACCCAATGAAATTTACGCCCTACCTACTGACGACGATCGTTTTGGCCACTCGACCATACTTGAAGACTCACTGTTTTGACCACTCTAAAAAAGAAGCATAATAATATTTTATTATTCAAACAGATTTTTCAATTTTGTTATCTTTTTTCTGTACCTTAAAATGCAACAAAATTCACACCAATGTTGCAGCCTTTGGTCTGCAGCTGATCAGACGTGTCCACTAACAATAAAACATTAAACTAAAATTAATTTTTCACCGCACCCCCCCCTCCCCCCGAATTTTGAGTTCGAGGCTGTGGGTATATCTTTGTCATCTAATGTTATCTTCATTAAGTAAGAAGACGAAGAATAGATCTACATAATATCTGTATTTAGTACAAAATAGAGTCTACGCAGACGGCTGCCATTCTTTGTGTGCAAGAAGACCAGAGAAGCGTTATAAAATGATGAAATCGGCTAATAAGAAAAACTAAAAACATAACTGAAGTTTGATTTCAGACTACAAGCACATATAGCTACATCTTGAAAGTACTTGAAACTTCATATGAAGACTGTCTGAGATAGATAGATAGCTCGACAGATAGATGTACAGACAGACAGACAGACAGACAGACAGACAGACAGACAGACAGACAGACAGACAGACAGACAGACAGACAGACAGACAGAAACATTGTCTTCAGAAATAACAGCGCCTTGACACAGATCAAAGGCCCTATGTCGACCACTGTGCCGGCTACAATCGTCAAATAAACCTGCACCCTGACCGAGAATGGATTACGGCCATGTTTACTCACCTTATACCACCAGGTGAATATTAGACACCTGCTGATACAGTGACACTGACAACGTTGAAGAACAAAGAGAAACGGAAACACGCTGTAGAATGTACCAAGACGAGTTAGGAATAATGAACACCTTTACAACAACTCATGAGAACAAAGTCCAGCACACAAATAAGCTTCACCGATTTTATTTTTTTTAATAGTCCTGTTTGTGAGCATGTTCCTTTTGACTTCTCTCACTATGACTGAAAAACAAAACCCTAGCCTACCTGACTGGTAGATTGATAAACAAGGCGGATATAGTCTATCGTTCCAATGATCTATTGTTATGTTAATAGCAGTAACACGATGACGAAGAAGATGATAACAAGCTTCCCTGACAACTTGCTAACAAGATTATAACTACAATCAGAGAAAGAATAGATTCATTGTTTTTACACCGCCAGATAAGAATAAGGATACAGTTGGGTTGTTTACACAGAGATAGGGTTGAAGAACAAAGGCAAATTTCATTAACTCAGAAGTGGCTGCAGAATGCAATAAGAATACGGAGTGCTTATTGGCCCACAGGGGCATATATGATTTCCCCTAGAACATTTCTTATTTGCCCACAAAATTGCGAGTTATCTCCCCTGTATTTGGTCTCCCCCCCCCCAAATCCACAAAGTCCGTCAATCGTATATTTTAAATTGAGAATGTATAGTTTTCCAATCTAATGCTAAAAATAAAAAGATGAACAATAGAGTAAGAAGTTACACATTTTCATCTTGTTATCCAACACAGTATACATAGAGTAAACAAAGAAATAACTCAATTATACCGTAATATATTGTTTGACGAAAGAAGCAAGCCCACATCCGGAGAACCTACATTCTCAATGAAATAATGTTCGCAGACGATCAAAGTCTGTACTTCATAACAATAACGCTGAACTGCAGGAACACGCTGACAAACAATCAAATCTGTAGAAATGTGTTCGAGATGGAATGCCTCAGGAAAACATTAACAAGAAGGGATAAAGTGAAAAAAAATAAAAGAGAACAAATTGGGACAATACCACGTATGAAATAGGCTACATTGAAAAACAAAGCATTAAAAGGCCCATGTGGGCCAATAAGAGCAGCCAAAAGAATAAGAAGATAAAGAAGTAAAGAATAAGGCTAATAATACGCATCTTTTCTCCAGCCTACCTCTGTGAACATCGTTGAACATCACAAACAGGTTCACCGAATTAAATACAAGTCATGTGAGTGTTTCGTATGATCTCTATGATCTCGTATGATCACTATGAAATAGTGTAAAGCGCATAGAGCCTGCTGTTGAGCGGGGATATTTGCTATACAAATGCTATTTATTATTATTATTATTATTATTATTATTATTATTATTATTATTATTATTATTATTATTATTATTATTATCTCTCTTCTATGTTCAGACTCGTGGAAAACCCCAACCAGACATATAGGTAGATTGTCAGAAGGTCACGTGATTACGTTAATATTACTGGAATAACCAGTTGTTACGAAAGAGGTGAGTTATACGATCATATAACAAGCTTCACTAACACTTGAATCATATTTTTTTCAATAAATTGCTTCCATGAGAGAGAGAGAGAGAGAGAGAGAGAGAGAGAGAGAGAGAGAGAGAGAGAGAAGTTTATTAGTTTATGTTAACAGTGCCAGGTAAGCAATAGTAAGCATTGTTGAGGACACTTGCTGACACTATATCAACGTTTGAAGAACAAATCTCTTATAAAACACACTCTACCATAAAGAGATAAGAATGATACTACATAGTACCAATCGTCCCTCAAACTTACCTCTAAGAGCCTAGTCCAACGACACACACAAACGGCTTCACCGAATTTACAACAGTCCTGTATGTTTGTCTCCTCCCTTTTCTCTCTGCTGCACTCTGAGTGAATAAATAGCCTAGACTGCGTCACTGATAAAGTAAAAAGACAGTGCTGGGATTAGACCTCGGCCTATGCCTGTGTACTGTGTAGGCTACGCTGTAAACTTAAAGAACTTTGGCCCGTTTCTTTATTGAGGGCGCCTTCTACAGCTACATTTAGCCTAGCCTACGACACACCGAGCGACATGACATAACATAATAAGCATCATGTGATACAGCGAAATGAGTCAATGTTATGAACGTGAGGGCGGTTTACAGCGCCTTGTAAATTTAATTTTCTACGCCCCCCATCGGCTTAATACTGTTATACAAAATGTAGATAATCTGGGGGCGGGCGGATTGCTTACTGTAAACTCTCTGGTAATACTGGGTTTTAAGAAAGAGAAAGAAAAACCACCCAGTCATGGAAATAGCACGATTGATTTTTTTTGCCAGCACCTTAACGAGGCCTACAACTCAAGCACTTTAGTGGACTATACCGGTGCTCTAATAGAAACCAAGACGTTAACGATTTGAGGACGCAACGAACACAATACAACCGAAACTGTCTAGGGCGGCCACTCATGATCGAGGAGAAAAGTGGTCGTCTTAGGCAGATTGTCGTCGTACACAATGTCAATATAATATTGTAACGATTACGCAAGGAAGGGGGTGGAAATTGGCCGTTTGTACAGGTGACTGTGTTAAACAGGTGGCCGATGGAGAAGGTTTGGCTGGTTAATTAAAATTTATGCCCGATCTTCAGCACGCAAAAGGTAACGTTGCAACGCATTTCGAACCATTATACACAAATCAGAAACAAGAACGTGCGTGCTTCATAATAAGCCTGTGTTGTTGCATGCTTTTTGAAGTTTCAAATGATGAAAACACAACTGAAACTTTTTATTAAAAATAGTGTTTTCAACCGTCGTCAAATTAGGATCAAAATGCTCGACTTCAATGAGTTAAAGTACAGACAGATCCAGCTGGCGGTTGGCTGGCTCGGATCAGCGGACTGTATCTTGTTATACATTAAAGATAACAATGTCACTTACCAGAGTATTCGTTACCCATACTTTACTTTACTTTTCCGTTACCCATACAAATACGCTTCGTTTCGTTTGTTGTTTTTGTTGTTTGTTTGTTTTTTATATCGCCGGCCAGCTGTAAAGGTGCATGATTTTTTTTTATCAAGCCCGAAATGTTCATTTATTTATTGTTTGTTTGATTTTGTTTGTTTGTTTGTTTGTTTTTTGGGTTGTTTGTGTTTTTTGTGTTGTTGTTTTTTTGTTATTGTTTTTTTTTCGGGGGGGGGGGGGGTGGTGCCAGTTGTTTGTCTTCCAAAAATATAAAAATTATATTATGTTCAAAATTCAAATTCTGAATGATAAAAAAGTAAGGGTGTTTCACTTTCACCTGTGGTCTAGGCCAAGTGCAAATTCTGTAACCTGCTTCTTCCACTCATATCGATCCTCAGCTTTCTGTTGTTAGATATTCCAGTCAAGGCCTGTACTACTCTTTTATTATGTTGTCGTGCTGTCGTTTCCTGTATTTCTTAACGTTTCACTCTTTGTGCTTTTAAAAGTAATTGAATGTGTTTTACGTTCTCATCAATACACTTTAGGTCATTTTAGAGGTGTGCCGCGTGGACCCTCCCTGACCGGGCAAAACTGGGCTGAGTGGGATACATCAAGCATAATTATTATTATATTCATGACGGACTAACGGACGGACGGACGGACGGACGGATGGAGATACTGAATTGAAAAGTTGAAACAATAAGATAATAAAGATAAAGAGGTTTTATCATGAGTTATGCTGGTAGACCATGATTTATCCTGGTTGTGAAATTTCCAGTTGTTATCATAAAATAAAACCCCTCACTCGGGGAACGAAGTAATTATCTATTATAGTTATTATCATGATCATTATCATTGTCATTATCGTTATCGTTATCGTTACCGTACACCAAAAATGTCGTCTTTATCTCCCCTCCTTCTTTTTTGTGTTTGCTACTCTCTTGTAACACCTCTAAAGTCTTTTCTAAGAACGGATGAAGAGCCTGTTACCATTAAACCACGGGTGCCAGTTACTTACTACTTGTTTTCGATTTTTAAAAAAAATCAAATTTAATTATTTTTTTTTAAACCTTTGAGATAGAGAGACCGTTGATGCCAAGATGACTCGGGGCAGACTATTTCTAATTACAAACTGTATTATGATGTTGTGTAATGACTTGCCTGTATGACCGACGTACAAGTGATTTAAGACGCGAGTAACCCCCTCCCCCCTCCCCCCCGCCCGCCCCCCGATAAGTCAGATTCTAAAAAAGTAGAGAAAGTGGAAATTCAAAGTTTCAAAGCCCGCGCACCTTGTAGTTAGTATTGCGTGTCTTCTACCTTACGTACCCGATAGGATTTAGTTTGGTTATCAATGGGATCATTTGGGGAGAAGATTGTTTGATTTTTAATGATGTAACACTAACTAGAGAAATAAAAACTCCAGCAAGTTTGCCTCAAACCCTGCTGAAAGCGGTCAGTTGTTGCAAAGCGTTTCCGCCAACCCGTCGTCAGAGTGAGTGAGAATATACAATCAACGCAAAGAAGCTCTTGTTACAGACATTACTTTTTTATTGAAATGTTATGGAACGATAGAAATTAAGATTTCAGAATTCAAACCATCGGTTGACTTTGTCAGTTCTAGCAGGTAATCTTAACTTTGATCCTGTCTATTGCGGCCACTGTGTATAACAGCCACTTTTCTCTGTATTCTCGAGTGACCGTTGTGTACAGGTTTGAATGTAGGCTACTTACCGGAGTAGCCCTAACATAATATGTAAAAATAAACATAATGTACGAGTGCGCTCGTACTTTGCGTGAAAAGTCCAGGTTCGAGCCTTGGTTCGGACATGGATTTCTTTCGCCCCCTCCTGCCCACCCAGCAGCAATGAGTACCTGGCCTCGAGTTCTGGAAGTAAAGGCGGCGTGAAAAGGAACTGGTCACCCTACCACAATAATATGCCGAAGGCCCGGGAAGTTGTTTCACTAACAAGGCAATTCCCAATGTCCGGATAGGACACGGGTACAACTTTACTTACGTTGCATGGAGCAACGTAATAATATATCATTCTTATACAAGTACAAGCAGAAGTTGGCAAAAGGCAATGCTGCAGTCATCAATCGATGTGTAAAGTGTAAAGAAGAACTGTAACATAATAACTGATAACTAAAAACTGATAACTAATAACTGATAACAAGCATCACTTAAACACTTGAACAAGACTTTTTCTAATTGTGTCTGTTGCAATGATTGATTGCAAGGATTTTACGACGCCATCGACATAGTTTGGATCCTATAGGAAGCACTCTATTTTTGTGAGCATGTATTGTTATCATAATAATTATAGTTATCTTTTATAGTTATTATCATTATCGTTATCATTATTATTATCGCTGTCAATAGCATTATCGTTATCATTTTAATAATAATAA